TACTTTGCCCCTGCAAGCTAATCAACTCATCCTGTCAATTCCATTGGAATAATTAACTTCGCAACAAAATTTGACTGCTTTGAATCCATGCATGACTGGGCCTTAAGACAATAATCTTATAACAGAAATATATTCTCTATTGCTCTAAAGTGAATTAATAGTTAGTATTTTTATATGTTTTAATTGCACATTTTTAAATTTATATGCATTTTCAGCACTACTTTTGCTAGTGCTTATAAAGGCACACACGTCAAAAGCTGCAGGTGCTTGCCTCTGCCTCGCACATAAAAATATACATGCACGTGTTTGTTGCTGAGCTGAACCCCCTCAGAGACCTCAGCTCTCTGTAGACACCGCCATGTGCCTAAAGTTGACGTTGGAACTGTGGGCCTCATTATGCACGTGAGTTTGACCATGTGGCCCTCTTTATCTGAAATTCTTCGCCTCCACTTGTCTTCTCTTTTTCCTTCTCTTTCCAAACCCCTCCCCTCTTCTTTTCCCCTCCTCCACACACAGGATAGCCACAGGAGGTGAACTTCAAGAAGCTCAGACAGACAAAGCATTTGCCTGAAAAGATGGATTTTCCAAAAAGCCACCAAAACCCCAGGGTGTTTGTTTTCACACAGAGAACCAAATCATTTGCAGAGACATGACAGACACATTTTTAGGTGGTTTTCAACAGGCTGCTGAGCTGGATTTTCTCATAAAATACAGCAAACGTCTGCACGCTGCTATTTGCAGATATTGCCTTAAGGCAGTTATAAATGTGTTTGATCAATCAATCCATTGCAGGTGTTTCTATAGTAGGTTTTAGACTGGAAATAATGTGAAAATGTGTAATATACTGTCACATTGCATATCATTTTATACTATAGTGATTAGTGTTTTCATCTGAACACTTCAAACCTGTATTTCATAGCATAGGACATGTTCTTTAAGCCCCAGCAGGAGAGAACACATTGGGCCTCATGCACAAACTTAGTAAATAATACAAATCAAGTTAGCACATTGACCCAGCACTGTTTCTAACGCATTTGCTAACATTAGCCACCATCAGCTAGCGGCCATACCAGACCAAGTAAGGCTGTATCAGAAAAATAATAAAAATAAATGGAAAAATTTAAATGAAACTAGTGAGCAAGCCTCACAGAAAAAAGTAAGAAAGGTTTAAGATGTATATGAAAATCTCCTTGCATTAAAGGTAGAAAACCAAAATTTTGCAGAAAGGGGTTGATTCAAATTCAAAATAGCAAATTCAACACATTTTTCTGTTTTTTGTGTCTTCACTGCAAGTCCTTGTATTTGTGCACATACTGAACACACTGAATTCCTTTTTTGCCTTTTTGAAATCGAAAGGTATCGACTTGTCCTTGGAATAATGAAATATTTAATGGCAATAATAGAGACGCTAGAGGCTTATGCCACACACTTGATAATACATCCACTGTCAGGAGCAGATTTAGCAGCATATCGTGCAGAAACTCATCAGAGTAGATAAGAGTTCTGTGGAAAAGCAGCTGCTGGAGGTTAATCAGGACATTATGATTTCAAGCTGTCCAACCCATATTGGCCTGTTGGCACACTAACTCTTTTGACATCAGCAATACTGTATACTGTACACACACACACACACCCGCACACATATACACCTGCAAACTAGTCTACACCATCACCTGGCCCGCAGATGTGGTTGTCACCATTACTTAAACCAACATAGTAACCCACCCACCCACCCACACACATCCTCTATGTCTCTCACGACACACACACTGCTGTTGCTCTACTACAGTGTATAAGCTCATTATTCACCAGGATAGGCAGGTTACAGAACTGCTTCACATAAATGTCATCCACAATGAGCACTGAGAGTACCCAGACAGATAGAGGTTAGACTCATCCTGTTGGGCTTGTATGAATGGGGGAGAAGTCGACTAAGGAACAGGTTGAAAGAGGGTGGGTGAGACACATTGAAAGGAGACGGGTGTATGGGTGTGTGTACTTTCTGTATCATGCGGATGCGCTACCGCCAGGACGGTGTGCCCATATGTGGGCATGCCTGTGTTGTGAATTTATGCACGACTGTCCCTGCAGTCAAGTGAGTGTGTGTTTGTGAGAGGGAGTGAGTGAGAGAAATGGGTGTATATTTAGGTTGGCTTCGATGCGGTGGGACTTCACACTGCAGGGTCTGGCTGCCAGCCAAACTCCTCCGTTACCAAGGAAACATGCTGCAGCCTGGCATCCAAAGGGAGCAACCCAATATAACCGTTTTTGGCCTTTTTCTTTCACTGGGGCAAAGAAAATATCGGTCCAGCAGATCCTGTAGACCTGGTTATATATTGATAATATATTGATATTAAAATTGTTATAATCTGCAAGAATTTGTTTTATTAAAAAAATAACTATTTTATTTTATTTTATGCTGTGTGCCATCCCCCTTCTCTCTGCCCTTTCCTGTCCAGTTTAAGTTGTCCTATCAAATAAAGGCAAACATTTTCCAACAGTTTTAACAGACAACTCTCACAGCTATGTTCAACTGCTCCAACAACAAACCAGGAATTTGGGAACAACCTTGCAAAATCCACAAGCCTCTGCCCCATCCAATTCATTTTACTTTACTCCATTATTATTAAACCCTCAGGTTTCGATCACATTCTGAGCTGCATGCTGGCAAGACAGTTTGCTGCTAAAGGTTGTGAGTGTTCTGGTGACAGAGGGCCAATGGCGGCCACAACCCAGCTAATCCCTTGCTAGCTCGGTACAACATTTGCAACGTTTACAACTCATGCATAGCAAATGAACTAAACAATAAACATCAAAAAATCATGTCAAATGTGTGCAATTTTTGGAGATCTTTGCAACATTTTCCATCTCGCTGTGTCATGCACTGACACATGTTGAACCAGAACAACACAAACTCATGTACAAAGCTAATACAGTACGGACAGTGTTAAACCGGCAAACAAACAAACTTCATTTAACAAACTGTGAGATGTGTGTGTGGGAATAGTGGGCTGCGGTCAGACAGCTCTGAATGACTTCTTAGAAATGTAACGCTTGAGTCAGTCAAAAGAGGAAGGAAGGAGCAACTTGATAAGACTGAGAGCCAGCAGTAACCATGCTAGCCTCTGGATGGCAGAGATAAGGCCGTCTGTTTTCTATTCTGCTTTCCAGAAACTGAACGCTTTTTTTCAGTTCATTTAAATGATTGGTTTACATTGATTATTGTCAGTGTGTGCACATATAGCCTGTAATAACTTCAGGGCCAGCCCAGCGCTGCATTTTCTCACTTTGGCCTGCAAGAAAATTCAAGAACCCTAAAAATAAGAGCATTGAGAAAAAATTTTAATTGAGGATCTACAAGACATATACAAGTGCACTGGAGAGGGGTGCATTGTGCAGAGAATTATTCATAGTGAATGAGAATGAGATTGAAATGAGATTGTTGTCAGCACTGACTGACACATTCAAGACCCTAGCAGTGTTCTCTTTACTAATATCAGAGCGCCCTCTGCTGGTTTGACTGACTACATGGTCCAATGCACTGCTGAATCTAGCAGTTAAACTTTAATGGTAAATGGACCTGTACTTGTATAGCGCCTTTCTAGTCTTCCGACCACTCAAAGTGCTTTTACACTACGTGCCACATTCACCCTTTTACA